ATTTAGTGGTAGTAAAATACCGTTGGATTCTTCTAGTTCGTGACCTAATTTTAAAGATTTGCAACCCAAATGTGTAATAGACTTGTAACTACACAATTTTCTGTAGGCACATATTAAACTGAACTTTCTTTTTCGAATTTTTTATTCAACAAGTTAACTTTAGTTGTTGACCATACTTTCTGCGCTCTATATTAATTTGTTATAGACCTAATGAACTTCAGTCGCCCGTCATAATATATTATATATAGGTTTATAATGCACATGTCTGCGAATTTTATACGTATATATTTACATGTGTGTACTTGTATGTATGTCAATAATACCAACTGCATGCGTATACATTACCACGAAAGACACTTTCGTTTTTTTCAACGTATCAACGTACCAGTTACGAATTATGTCACCATCAGTTACATTGCGAGCGTACACGTCGAATTTAATGATTAACTGGGCAAGTTTGGACAATGGGCGTTGGTTATAAGTTATAACATACCTACATAGTAACTAATACGTATGTATGGTACACCTGATGTCCAATATCAACTCAAACCTAAGTTCTAAGTAAAGCAATAGGGACAATAGGGTAGCTTAACAGATAGGGAGTTTAAGGGGATGTTGTTTCCAAAATCTAATGGATCATTAACTAACATTTTATAGCTAGATACTGCTGTTTTAAACGCCTATCAGTTGAACCTCCTTAGGTAGATAGTATTTAAGGAATAGTTTCCAATTTGGAATTCGATTATGTCGCAACTCACCATTTTGCACTTTTAGGGGTAGTTTTTTGAAACCTTTGTGTAAAATTTCCAAGCTTCCTGACTCAATCGTTTGACCCTTGCTTTGAATGACAAATCAACCCCATTTTCTTCAACTTAAAAAGTCCTTTCTTAGTATTCGCCTACTTAGTATAACGAAAGTCTGTGCAAAATTTCTCAAAAGTCTCTAGACCCTGACAGTGCTCTAAAAAGACAAATGTGTATAAATACATACTTGAGTGTTTCTTTACATACTTATAATTAAAATGTTTCGCTATCAACTAACGGCTTTACCATTTGGTAATAAAAATAGGTACACCGGTACCTGTATTGAACATTATAAATGTCAATGATTTTGTTTTCACAAACTTGTTGCATATGGTTTTAAAAGAAAAATTTTCTATTACCTCTTAGTAGATTACTTGAGCCCTATCTACTGATCTTACCTAGATGTCTCGTATTTAGACAGATAGATACTGACCTATAAAAGTGAAACATTTTTTAATTAGCATTTCGATTAACCGAACACGATAGGTGAATATCAATTTCATCGCCTGTAAAAATGACTTAATTCTAGTCGATTACAGGTCATTTATTTCACTGTAACATAATGGCGTGTTTACTATAGATGCCTATCTCAGAAATACACACGTAAAGGTATGCGATTAAAACAGGCGGATAAAATCAAACTGGCTGTACCCCTCGGGCTCATTAGGACAGTTACGAATTATAAATTAACACAGAAGAAATATCTTGAGGTGTTAATTCTCCATTAATCGACGCCAATCAAATATAAATTGGTCATTTAAAGTGAAAACTGCAGAACATTGTTACTAACCGTACTACTACATTGAAATGGAAGTATCTAAAGATGTACAAAATGTTTTTTTAAAAGTATTTAAATACAAAATCCAAATACTTTTTTGATTTGTTATTTCAAATGTAAAATACGAAATAGATTTCCCTTTTGTATTTTAAATGCTAAATGCGAAATACGTATTTTCAAAATACTTTTTTCAAATATATACTTTTTTGTAGTACCTATTTAAGTAATTTTATACATTTACTTCAGCAAAAAATATTTTTTAAGAAAACCTTGCAGGCATTTGCTCACTTTTTAAATACTGGAACTTTACTAGACTAATAGTAGTGTTTGCACTATTTCACCAGCTGCGAAGATTGATTGTGATTCATATTTTTTGTTTAAAGTGAGATATTTACATAGTTATATTACTTTCAGTTTAACAACAAATAATAATTATTCTATATGCTTCATTATTTGCCTTTGTCATCCGTTTTAATTGGAAAAAAGACAATGATGCCAAAATAG